GATTCCTTCCGGGCCTATAACCTTTATCACGTCCAACTCAAGCAAGAGCTTCCTTACATCCCCAATGGTAATCCCAAACTCCTCTAGTAATGCCTGGTTAACTATTCCATCTCTCATCTCTGGAAGTTCTGCTTGCTCTAATGTGAAGACCTGGAATTTCTTATTGAGTTCCTCGCACACTTCCTTGTCGTTTGTAGTGAATCTCTCTGCTTCTATGCTTCGTTTCATTATCTGTTCCTTCACTGTTGTTTTCCCTGCTGATGTGGCTGTGCAGCAATTTAGGTTGAGTTTAAATCACGTGTGTGTGTGTGTGTGTGTGTGTGTGTGCGTGCGTGCGTGCGTGCGTGCGTGCGTGCGTGCGTGCGTGTGTGTGTGTGTGTGTGCGTGCGTGCGTGCGTGCGTGCGTGCGTGCGTGTTAGCGTGAAGGCAATGGCTGTGACGCAGGTGGTGTTCAAGAGGTCTGGCCTCGCCTCGCCCTCCTACTCGTGGTCTCGTCTCCAGCGCTCAACAAATGTCAAATTAGGCCAAAATATGAGTATAACTAGAAAACCAAACCCATTAAACCTGACCTGAATATTAAAGGGAAAATGTTGCGGGTGAGAGAGGCAATATATACCCCAGGGATCATAATGCCGGCCAGACGAGCGCGGGACCTTCACATAAAGACATGATTAAACATCACGCAACATTTCTCTGACCACACAACATTAACTATTTTATTATATTACAGTTTATTGTTCACCAATTACTGTTTATTATCCCATAAATCACGTTGATGGTTCCTTATCCAACTAATGGATCAGGAAGACATATATGATAGATGTGTGAAGAAAATATGCTTTCCATGTATTTAATATGTATGTGTTTAACATGTAACATGTCTTCACACTTAATGAAGTCAATTTTTGATACTCTTCACTACAGCGTCACAGTTACGGTGCTCCGCGGTACACGTCACAATAGTAAGAGTGGGGTGGTACACGTCACAATAGTGAGAGTGGGGTGGTACACGTCACAATAGTGAGAGTGGGGTGGTACACGTCACAATAGTAAGAGTGGGGTGGTACACGTCACAATAGTGAGAGTGGGGTGGTACACGTCACAATAGTAAGAGTGGGGTGGTACACGTCACAATAGTGAGAGTGGGGTGGTACACGTCACAATAGTGAGAGTGGGGTGGTACACGTCACAATAGTGAGAGTGGGGTGGTACACGTCACAATAGTGAGAGTGGGGTGGTACACGTCACAATAGTGAGAGTGGGGTGGTACACGTCACAATAGTGAGAGTGGGGTGGTACACGTCACAATAGTGAGAGTGGGGTGGTACACGTCACAATAGTAAGAGTGGGGTGGTACACGTCACAATAGTAAGAGTGGGGTGGTACACGTCACAATAGTAAGAGTGGGGTGGTACACGTCACAATAGTGAGAGTGGGGAGGTACACGTCACAATAGTGAGAGTGGGGTGGTACACGTCACAATAGTAAGAGTGGGGTGGTACACGTCACAATAGTGAGAGTGGGGTGGTACACGTCACAATAGTGAGAGTGGGGAGGTACACGTCACAACAATAGTGAGAGTGGGGAGGTACACGTCACAATAGTGAGAGTGGGGTGGTACACGTCACAACAATACTGAGAGTGGGGTGGTACACGTCACAACAATACTGAGAGCAGGGTGGTACACGTCACAACAATAGTGAGAGTGGGGAGGTACACGTCACAACAATAGTGAGAGTGGGGAGGTACACGTCACAACAATAGTGAGAGTGGGGTGGTACACGTCACAACAATAGTGAGAGTGGGGAGGTACACGTCACAACAATAGTGAGAGTGGGGAGGTACACGTCACAACAATAGTGAGAGTGGGGAGGTACACGTCACAACAATAGTGAGAGTGGGGTGGTACACGTCACAACAATAGTGAGAGTGGGGTGGTACACGTCACAACAATAGTGAGAGTGGGGAGGTACACGTCACAACAATAGTGAGAGTGGGGTGGTACACGTCACAACAATACTGAGAGTGGGGTGGTACACGTCACTAGGTAACGATGATAGAGTTACAAGATACTTGTTCTCTTGTTTTCACTGAAGGTTCAGGCTTCCACTGAAGTCAAACCAGGATATTGTGTGAAACGTCGACTTCAGGGGACAAGTCCATTCCATCCAGTGGTCGACCCCACAGACGCATTCATAATTTTTTACATTCTGTTCATTCCAAACGGGAATTTTCTTAAATATTAATTAATATTATAATATATTAGCATATTGTGCATATATAGGAATAAGTTAGGTGTTTAGGTTCTGTTGGCGATTATTTGTATTTGTAGTACGTGGGTGAAGCATTTACAGCGTTGTGGTTCGAACAAAATTCGTCAGTGAAGCACTTGTTCCGGAAGTTTTCGGACGTCAGCAGTTGTGAGTCGTGTGTAAACCGTTTTTCATTCATAAACAGGGGGTTTGGCGGGTCTTTGTTTGGAGGACGGGCTGCACCCGTCCTCGTATACAAAGATCCAAGCTCGTTAATCCAGCCGCCTAACCCCCTGTTTATGAATGAAAAGCGATTTACACACGACTCATAACTGATGACGTCCGAACACTTCCGGAACAAGTGCTTCGCTCACGTCCTTAGTTCGAACCACAACGCTGTAAATGCTTCACCCACGTACTACAAACACAAATAATCGCCAACAGAACCTAAACACATAACCTAACCTATGCCTAACGATACATAGAATTTTTATATATAATAATATTAATTTATATATGAGAAAAAAACTATTTTTATTACCTAGTATGTTAACATTGATGAATACGTCTGGGGAGGACGGCCGCTGCTTTAAACAACCTAGCGTGAGGACGGGTTGCAGTAGAACCCTAGGTTGCTATCCTTTTGACCATGTCGTGGCCTAGATGTCTAGGACGTGTACCGGGGAATACCTAGAACATAGGTTCGAATCTTCATCACGGCTCCTACGGATTTTCTCAATCCATTCAAATTTCCGGTAAGTGGTGGAGCCAGCGTGTGTGTGGAGGGGGGGGGGGGGGGGCGTGTAAGCGGGACAGGGAGCGTGTAAGCGGGACAGGGAGCGTGTAAGCGGGACAGGGAGCGTGTAAGGGGGGACAGGGAGCATGTGGGGGTGACAGGTGCCGAGGGGGTGTATCCCCCCCAGACAATAACTACCCCGGCTCCATGCCGCATAACCAATGCCAACAATTAACACACCAACAATTGCTGGCGTCTACACGAGCACTACCCTGGAAACACAAACCGAAACTGTCTCTATTTTCCGCTTGTAACAACTTGTAATAAAGTTGTTACATCTTGGCTTAATGTGTTTATGACGTATTAGAACGTTGTTACAACTTGATATATTGGTTGTTATAACTGGTTAGGTGGTGTTAAAACTTGTTCGAACGTTGTACCAACGTCGTAGTTTCGGTGTGTGTTTGGAGGGTAGCGTCTTGTCCATCATAATTTGTCGTGTCAACATGACACCGACCATTAGGCACACTGGCATAGTTGCCTGATAACCAATGTCTACACACACATGCAGTCGTGCACACGCACATAACACACACACACACTATACATCAAGCCCAGTTATAACTACCCGCTATGTTATTATAAGTGCAAACAAACCCAAATTATAAATAGACATCAATTAACATTAAAGTTAATCAAGGAAACCAAAGTTAAACACAAGCCAACAAGCCACAGTCTGAGCCACCAGACATGGAACAAAGTCAGTCGGTCAAACACTGATGGAAATCCAATAAGCAAATTGCCAGTGAAGCCAATTACAACACTGTGTTTTAGTGTAAGACAAACGTCGTCCAGGGTAAACAAGTGACTCAAGCCACAGGCTGCGCGTCACGCCTGGGAGCGTTCTTAGTAAATTACGATGTGGGTAGCATCTGGGAGCATTGTAACGCCTGGGGTTATCTGGGAGCATTGTAACGCCTGGGGTTATCTGGGAGCATTGTAACGCCTGGTGTTATCTGGGAGCATTGTAACGCCTGGGGTTATCTGGGAGCATTGTAACGCCTGGGGTTATCTGGGAGCATTGTAACGCCTGGGGTTATCTGGGAGCATTGTAACGCCTGGGGTTACCTGGGAGCATTGTAACGCCTGGGGTTAACAGGTCACCTGGTGTGTGTACCTGTGACCACCACAGGTCACTAAGGAGAGCGGCCATGTCATGCCACACACTAGCCTCCCTCAATCCTCACTGAACCACTTTGTGAAGAGTGAAGAAATAGCTACACTGTCCTGCTGGGAAGCATTTTATTACCTCACTGAACTTACCTGAACGTCAAGTGGTGCAGGTTCATCACCTCACTCACTCCTAGCCTCGTCTCTCTCACTTGACAACGGCCTAACTATACCATTAAAGAATTTGTGCCCATTTGTCTCAAACTCGCCCTAATTTTCTCTAAATTCATAGAACGGCAATGTTTTATTTAATTGATCTATCAATTAAATAAATCTACACAACTACACAATTAAATAAATCTACACAATCGACTTGAGAATGGTCCAGGACGGACCGAAACGTCGTCGTCCCTTCAATTTCTAGTGTGTGGTCTGGTCAACATACTTCAGCCACGTTATTGTGACTCATCGCCTGCATACACAACTAAACATTGGAGGAACGGATCTCCCCCAAAAATGCACAGGAAAAGATTAAGCAAATATAATGTGTTAAAACAACCCACACTGTTATGACACATAAACCACTCATAAACCACACTGTTTAGACAAATAAACTACTCATAAACCACACAGTTAAGACACACAAACCACTCATAAACCACACTGTTTAGACAAATAAACTACTCATAAACCACACAGTTAAGACACACAAACCACTCATAAACCACACTGTTTAGACAAATAAACCACTCATATATAAACCACATTGTTATTAAGACAAACAGCGTTGACAGAAACACACGACAAGTCAACTATGGCGGGAGGTACGAAGAGCGACTCACAGCGTACGACGTCGTCCGGCAGCGCCTCCGGCTGACTCTCCAGCACGATCATCTTCGGGCGTCGCATCACTGCCAGCACACAAGTCTTAGTGGCTACACTTACACACACACACACACACACCCGTCAACCACCACACCTACACCTCTCTACACTCCTTTCATCACCTGTGTACCACACGCTTCGTCACCTGTATGCCACTCTGCATACCTGCCTCGCACACACATGTGGTATTGCCCGCACATCCCCACACACCAACACAACAGTGCCCTCACACACACACACACACACACACACACACACACACACACACACACACACACACACACACACACACACACACACACACACACACACATACAGGCACACAGGCACACAAAATGTTTTCAGGCTTGGTAAAAGGTTTTCAGGCTTGGAAAGTACAACAAAGACAGAGACCGAATGATAAAGGTGGTATTCATGAGCGAAATCACGAAAGAGGAACTGTTAGCAAGGAAGTGCTGTCTAGCACTTCCTGTACAGACGTTCAAAAAAGTATTCCTGCAGAGGGATATGACAAGGGAAGAGAGAAAGCAGGCAACAACGCGAGGAGGGAGCGCAAGGAGAGAGAAAGGAATCGGAGAACCACAACCCCGAACCCTACAATCCCAGAGGAGAGTGGGGAACCCTCCTCAAACAGTGCAACAGCCACAGGGAGTGGGGCACCACCCCAACATTCTACCTAACAGACACCCAACCTGCCCCAGCCCCTGTCAGCCCCCCACTAAGTACCCACCTAGGGCACCCTCCCCCCACCCATCCCCCTCCTCCCACTCACCCCTCTCCCCAGGATCTCCCCATCCCCCAAGCCCTCCCTTCTCCCACATGCCCTCCCGTCTCTCCCACCCCCAAGCCCTCCATTCTCCCCCGCCCCCCCCCTAAGCCCCCCACTCTCCCCCACCCCACCTAAGTTTTCCCCTCTCCACCACTCCCCTAAACCCTCCCCTCTTCCTCACCCACCTTAGCCTTCCTTCCCCCCCCCCCAAGCCCTCCCCCCTTTTATGCCGCCCCAAGCCCCCCATCTCCCAAAGCCTCTCCTCCCCCCATGCTCCCCCAACCCTCCCCCTCTCCCGCTCTCACTCTCCCCCCCAACCCTCCCCCTCTCTCCCCGCTCTCACTCTCCCCCCCAACCCTCCCCCTCTCACTCTCCCCCCTACCCTCCCCCTCTCCACCACCCCCCAAGCCCTTCCTCCTCTACCAGTCTCCCCGTACCAGATCCTCCCAGCTCCCACTCACCCCAGATCCCACAGTTTTCCCCCAGAGGAGAAGCAGAAGAGAGTCAGTTTCAGGGCAATGTACTCGAACATAGATGGGATCACAAGCAAGACAAGTGAACTAAGGGAAAGAGCACAAGAAGTTAACCCAGATGTAATCGGACTCACGGAAACAAAACTCTCTGGAATCATAACGAATGCCATGTTTCCCCAGGAGTACACAGTAATAAGGAAATAGAGGGAAGGTAGGGGAGGAGGCAGAGTGGCCCTACTCATGAGAAAGGAATGGAGTTTTAAGGAGATGGTTATCCCAGGCTGTGAGGGGTTCAGAGACTACATAGCAGGCACCATGACAATGGGAGGACCAAGAATAGTAGTAGCAGTAATATACAACCCTCCACCAAATGACAGAAGACCCAGTCAAGAGTATGAAAACAACATGGCAGTTAACACTATAATTGAGAGGGCAGCCTCTGCTGCCTGTAGAAATAGATCCCACCTGCTCATCATGGGGGACTTCAATCATGGAAGGACTGACTGGGAGAACAAGAAACTGCATGGAGGCGAGGATACGTGAAGAGCCAAACTACTGGAGGTGGTGACTAGAAACTTTTTAACTCAGCATGTCAGAGAACCCACAAGGATGAGAGGAAATGATGAACCAGCGAGACTCGACCTGGTCTTCACTCTGAACGACGCCGACATAAGAGAAATCGGTTTTAAGGCCCCAGTAGGAATGAGCAACCACAGTGTACTGGTGTTTGAGTACCTGATTGAAGAAGGGGTTATTGAACTTGAGGAGGGATACCGAAACCAAAAGGTTAGCATACCTAAAGGGAAACTATGAGGAGATAAGACAATTCCTAACATAAATAGCATGGGAAACAGAGCTCAGGGGAAAGACGGTCCAAGATATGATGGACTACATCACGCAGAAGTGCAAGGACGTAGCAAACAAGTTTGTCCCAGTCCAAAAGGAAAACAGTGAAATGAAGATGAGAAACCCATGGTTTAATCAGAGATGTAGGCCAGCTAAGCAGCAAAGTAAAAGGGCATGGAGAAACTATAGGAATAACAGGACACTGGAGAGCAGAGAAAGATACCAGAATGCCAGAAATGAATATGTCAGGATGAGAAGAGAGGCAGAAAGACAATACGAAAATGACATCGCAAGCAAGGCAAAGACTCAGCCTAAATTGTTGCATAGCCACATCAGGAGAAAAACAACAGTAAAGGAACAGGTTATGAAATTAAGGATAGGGGCAGAAGGATTCACTACAAACGACAAGGAAGTGTGTGAGGAACTGAATAAGAAATTCCAAGAGGTCTTCACCTTAGAGCAAGGAGAAATCCCAGAGATAAGAGAGGGAATAGCTAACCAGGAACCACTGGAAGAGTTTGAGATTACCAGCGGGGAAGTAAGGGTTTACTAGAGTTGGATGTGACAAAGGCTATAGGCCCAGATGGAATCTCCCCTTAGATATTAAAGGAAGGAGCAGAAGAACTGTGTCTACCACTCTCCATAGTGTATAACAAATCTCTGGCAACAGGGGAACTGCCAGAAATTTGGAAAACAGCTAACGTAGTCCCGATATACAAGAAAGGGGATAGACAGGAGGCACTGAATTACAGACCAGTGTCCCTAACCTGCATACCATGCAAGCTGATGGAGAAGATTGTGCGAAGAAAGCTAGTGGAGCACCTGGAGCGAAAGAACTTTGTAACACAGCATCAACATGAATTCAGGGATGGCAGGTCCTGCCTCACAGGGTTACTTAAATTCTACGACCAGGCAACAAAAATAAGGCAAGAGAGAGAAGGGTGGGCAGACTGCATATTTTTGGATTGTCAGAAAGCCTTTGATACAGTGCCACACAAGAGGCTAGTGAAAAAGCTGGAGATGCAGGCTGGAGTGAAAGAGACGGTACTCCGTTGGATACAGGAGTACCTAAGCAACAGGAGACAACGAGTCAGTGTGAGGGGTGAGGTCTCAGATTGGCGAGACGTTACGAGTGGAGTCCCGCAGGGGTCAGTCCTTGGACCTATACTGTTTCTGATATATGTAAATGATCTCCAAGAGGGTATAGAATCGTTTCTCTCAATGTTTGCCGAGGATGCAAAAATTATGAGGAGGATTCAAACTGAGGACGATAGTAGGAGGCTACAAGATGACCTAGACAGACTGAGTGAATGGTCCAACAAATGGCTGTTGAAGTTCAACCCGTGTAAATGCAAAGTAATGAAACTAGGCAGTGGAAACAGGAGGCCAGACACAGGATACAGAATAGGAGATGAAGTACTTAATGAAACGGACAGAGAGAAAGATCTAGGAGTTGATATCACACCAAACCTGCCTCCTAAAGCCCACATAAAAAGAATAACGTCTGCGGCATATGCGAGGCTGGCTAACATCAGAACAGCGTTCAGGAACTTGTGTAAGGAATCATTCAGAATCTTGTACACCACATATGTAAGACTAATCCTGGAGTATGCGGCCCCAGCATGGAGCCCGTACCTTGTCAAGCACAAGACGAAGCTGGAAAAAGTCCAAAGGTATGCCACTAGACTAGTCCCAGAACTAAGAGGCATGAGTTACGAGGAAAGGCTGCGGGAAATGCACCTTACGACACTGGAAGACAGAAGAATAAGTGGAGACATGATCACAACCTACAAAATCCTCAGAGGAATCGACCGGGTAAACAAGGATAAACTATTCAACACTGGTGGTACGCGAACAAGGGGACACAGGTGGAAACTGAATACCCACATGAGCCACAGAGACGTTAGAAGGAACTTTTTCAGTGTCAGAGTAGTTAACGGATGGAATGCACTAGGCAGTGATGTGGTGGAGGCTGACTCTATACACAGTTTCAAATGTAGATATGATAGAGCCCAGTAGGCTCAGGAATCTGTACACCAGTTGATTGACAGTTGAGAGGCGGGACCAAAGAGCCAAAGCTCAACACCCGCAAGCACAAATAGGTGAGTACACACGAAGCAATGACCATAAGTCCTGCTGGCCCGGCGACGTAAATTTAATCTACAGGCATTTGTTTTTACTCGGGTGTGTGTCACTCCTGTGTTGTGCAACGGCTCTAAGACCTTCCCTGAACATTTCCCTCGAGGAATACAATAAATGCACCTATATATACACAGAATATGCACACGGCACTAAAATAAATTAATGTTTAATTTACAATTAGCAATAACGTTTATAATTAGCTTGTTATGGACTAAAGGTTTGGCACAACAGTTTCAGTAACTGGAGCACCAAGTTGTAAAAGATAGCGAGCGACTACAGAATTTATATGAAAACGTCGTTAACAAACGTATGCAGATTTCCACACGAGAGAGTGGATGGAAGGCTCGACCCAAGACGAACACTCCACCACGAGTACAAAACACGTATAGTACAAACTGTGCATGTACACCCGAGTGTTCAGGCGACGAACACGCGCTCACCAGACGGGCGACTGTGGGTGTACACCATGTTAGTATACAGGTGTTGGTGTGGTGGACCTCCAGCGCCCTCTCTCGACACACCAGTCAACCTCCACACCCAGCAGGAGGCACCACTGCTCCTCGCCTCACACACGTGATGACAGCACGAGGCGGCGCAGGCCAGGCCCCGGAGCACGCGCCTCCCGCCCCTCCCCCTTACACACGCTGCCATCCCGCCCAAAACACACGCCACAAGCTGCCATCCCGCCCAAAACACACGCCACAAGCTGCCATCCCTCCCTCACACACGCCACAAGCTGCCATCCCTCCCTCACACACGCCACAAGCTGCCATCCCTCCCTCACACACGCCACACG